ATCTCTCGCCAGCTCTGAGTAGGGAATGGGGTCTAGAAGATTAGAGGAGGGGTGATTGAGAACCAGGATGCCTGGGTTCTCTCCCTGGCTCTGGTGGGGAGTGAGGTCTAGTGGTTAGAAGAGGGGTTTGGGAGCCAGGACTTCTGAATTCTGTTCCCATCTGTGATCAGAAAAGTCCCTTCCCTTTTGTGCCTCAGTTTCCCCACTTATAACATTGGGCTAGCTATCCCTCTTCTCATGTGGGGGATTATTTAATGACTGTCCCTCCGAGACCAGGGGAAGGAAGATAGCCTATAAATAACCCCAAGTAACTCACTGGTTGATGGACCTGTGACAGCCACCTCTAGGCTAGATTCATTTCTTTGTACAGCTCCTTGCACAAAGGGGAGGCAGCTATCCTAAGGCAAATAATTACTACTGATATTAATAGTAATAATTAAGTAAATATTCATTTGAGCATCCCAACACCAGTCAATTCCCTTTGCTAAGCCTCTCTGTGTTGGTCGCCTCGTAAGGGACAGTGTGTTAATCATTTTATGATTTAACAGTTGTTTTTGAAGGCCATGCATGCTGGTGGCTAGCACGTTGGACTGGAGCCATGTGGTTTCTATGTCCAGCTGTGCTACTGGCCTGCGGGGCAAATAATTTTCCCCGCTCCGTGCCTCAGTTTCCCCAAATTTAACCCGGGGTTGATTATCCTTTGCCGAGTGCTCGGTGATTTCTTTCAGTGGAGGATGCCTGCCCATCCAGTACTTCTTGAAGGTAAGAAATCAAAACTGTGTGAGATTTCAGTTTTTCCTTTATTTCGCAGAAAGGGAACGGGGAAAAAGCTAAGAAATACAGTGCAAAATACTCTGTTAGGGTTGGCTGGAAAATAGGGATTTCAGTTTAGATTATTTTAGTAATTGAGTGGTGAATGGAATTTGTATCGACTACTCGATTACTCTATAGGAGAAGACAGCCCCTCTCAGTCCCGGCTTGTGCCAGGAGCAAACCCTGCTGCAGCTCTGCAATTTAAAAGGAAGTACGAGTCAGGTAGCCTGTCCTCCAGCTCCTACTGCGTTTTAAATTGCAGAGCCAGAGTGGGGTTTGGTCCCAGTTCGAGCAGGGTCTGAATGGGCTGCTTGCCCAGCTGATAACAGCCCCTGTCTTCAGTGCCTGGCTGTGGACCGGGGCTGCTTTGCGGCAGCAGTCTCTGTCTGTGGAGGTCACAGCAGGAAGTTAGGACTCCTCCGCAGACAGGGGCTGCTTCACGGGCAGTAGTCCCTGTTCATGGGGGGGGGGGGGGGCCCAACTCTCACACCGTGCGA